GTAGTTTTCCTACGAGTTTGAAAAGTCTCTGTTTGCGAACCGAGAGGTTTGCGGCCCGAGCCGACGGCGAGGTCCGTAACGAGGTTCGTAAAGGAGACTTTTCGAACGAGTATCGGAAAACTGCTTTTTTGCCCGAGGAAGTACAAGCCTCCCAAAACCACCCGAGGGCGAAAAAATTGTTTTTTTATTTTTCGTTAGTATGAAAGAAAATCTGAAATAATAGTGAATTTAAATAAATATACATCCTTGATTCAAAAGCTAAAAATGATTTGATTAGTATCGATGCTGATAACAACCTATTAATTTTTAATTTATCTTTAAAAAACGCTGAGTCGTCACTTTCTCAACCAACTCATAGTTGAGAAAGGAAAAGCATGTTCTCACAATTTTTCTGGAAAATTTTTGTAAATTTTATGAATTCATAGTAGTTTCTTTTAACATTGATTTAACTAATATTATTTTGGTACTGATATTGATTTTTTTCCCATTTTTATTTTTTAATACACACAGTAAAACGTAAGTAGAGTAAGTAGCAATTAAAAAGTGTAGCAGAGTAAAAAAGTTGCAAAATAACGTAATTTATAAGTTTAATATTTTTTTTGGAAAAATTACAGTGTTTTAATATACTGTCACAAAATTAATAATGTTTTTAAATACTTATAACAAAAATTCATATCAGTTTTAAATTATGGCAATTAAAAAAGCCATGCAATCCTTTCTTGCAAAAAAAACTTGTGAACCTTATTATTGATAATGGAATGTACTTATGAAAACTTTTTATAACCAACACCGACGTGAGCTGTGATAACGTTTTTAAAATTTTTAAAACTGTCGACGAGAAATTATTTTCCGCAACTCTGTGATAAAATCGTTTTTTAATGTTTCACTAAGTAATTGTACCACATGGTTTCCAGAGCTTTTGAATTTCATTGAATTTCCCTACGTAAGTATACCATTATTACCTACACCGGCAAAATCATCTCTATTACCAGATAAGCATTCTGTAATATGTTAATAAATCATGGTTTTAGAATTTAAAAAAAAATTATTTTTAAGTTTATAGAACACAAATGTTAACGTTTTTTATGTCTAATAACGCTTAAAATTCAGTACATATACTATACTGTAATTTCTTGTATTTTAGTAATACGCGCTCAAAGACATTTGCGTAAAATGCCCGGTAAAACAACTCCAAGCGGGGCATCGGACTCTACATCTGAGGTAGGAAAAAATTCCTCATCTGGCAGCTCACCTCCAGCACCCTCGTCGGCTGCCCTGAAGTCGACTGTTTCTCCTACTTCAGTCACTGCAGCAGCATGAATAAAATTGCACATTTTTTTTTCTTTCACACAATTTAAAATATGTTTGCACATGATTGAAATAAATTCTTAACAGTATTTTGCAAAATTAATTTTCTTTACTATCAGCGTTTTGAAGAAATTTCGGATTTTAACAAGCACCTAGACTAACGTACATAAATTTTATTGTTAAAACACAGGATGATCTTCAAGTACTGTGTATTGAAAATATTTAAGTACAATTGCAAAAGAATGCGTATTTTTCAACGAAACAACAACTGATATCAAAAAAGTTATACGACCCACGCTTTATTCAATTATTCATACGCGATTGTATTTGTGTATAGAATGAGTCCTCGACGGAAAGAACGAATGGATCAAATCAAAAATCAAAGAAAGATCGTGATGGCGAGCGTCAAGGAGGAAACAACGGAAGAGGTCCAGGAAATCGCGGAAAGGGTCGAGGACCTCCAAAAAATGACAGAAAATTATCGGCTATGTAAACATTTATGATCGAGTAATTACTCAAGTGACAATTACGTCCTAATTTTTTTTGAGTTATTAAATATATTGAATTAAATTAATTATATAAATGATCTGTAGCGATAGATTAAAACATTTTTTTTTGTTTTGCAATATAATTGATGTAAATGATTTTGCTCTTGTTACTACTCAATTAAAAAAAAAAATTTTCTGCCCTCGGGTGGTTTTGGGAGGCTGGTACTTCCTCGGGCAAAAAAGCAGTTTTCCAATACTCGTTCAAAAAGTCTCCTTTACGAACCTCGTTACGTCCCTCGCCTTCGGCTCGGGCCGCAAACCTCTCGGTTCGCAAACAGAGACTTTTCAAACTCGTAGGAAAACTACTATTTTGCTTGGAACTGAATTGATATAATTTATAAAAAAAAGCATTGTTTGCTGGCCTATAATCGTTGATTATAAAACGTAAGTTGTGGAATGATTATAAGGTAAGTTTTGAGCGCAATTTATTTTTACCGAAAAATAGTTATTTACGTAACAAGGGCGGAAAAGACGACTTCCTGCACGAGTAGTGATTGACTCACACGAATGCCGGAGTTGACGGGAACGAGTGCCAGTTGAACACACGAGTGCGTAGCACGAGTGTGATTGTACGGCACGAGTTTTACCGTCACTGGCCACGAGTGCGAGTCCATCACACGAGTGCGGGAAATCGTCCCGCACGAGCTGCGTACAAGTTTTTTCGCCATAAATGTGCGGAAAATAGGTGTTTTCCGCACTGATATTAGTGTGGAAAATCGATTTTCCCACATAGTGTGCGGAAAAGGTGTGCGTTAAATATTTGAAGTTTGCGGAAAGTAAAAAGGTGTCGCACACCTTTTCCGCATACTGTGTGAAAAACCTTTGCCACACACCTTTTCCGCACACTATGTGGGGAAATCAATTTTCTACACTAATATCAGTGCGGAAAACACCTATTTTCCGCACACTATTGCAAAATGATAGTTTTCCTACGAGTTTGAAAAGTCTCTGTTTGCGAACCGAGAGGTTTGCGGCCCGAGCCGACGGCGAGGTCCGTAACGAGGTTCGTAAAGGAGACTTTTCGAACGAGTATCGGAAAACTGCTTTTTTGCCCGAGGAAGTACAAGCCTCCCAAAACCACCCGAGGGCGAAAAAATTGTTTTTTTATTTTTCGTTAGTATGAAAGAAAATCTGAAATAATAGTGAATTTAAATAAATATACATCCTTGATTCAAAAGCTAAAAATGATTTGATTAGTATCGATGCTGATAACAACCTATTAATTTTTAATTTATCTTTAAAAAACGCTGAGTCGTCACTTTCTCAACCAACTCATAGTTGAGAAAGGAAAAGCATGTTCTCACAATTTTTCTGGAAAATTTTTGTAAATTTTATGAATTCATAGTAGTTTCTTTTAACATTGATTTAACTAATATTATTTTGGTACTGATATTGATTTTTTTCCCATTTTTATTTTTTAATACACACAGTAAAACGTAAGTAGAGTAAGTAGCAATTAAAAAGTGTAGCAGAGTAAAAAAGTTGCAAAATAACGTAATTTATAAGTTTAATATTTTTTTTGGAAAAATTACAGTGTTTTAATATACTGTCACAAAATTAATAATGTTTTTAAATACTTATAACAAAAATTCATATCAGTTTTAAATTATGGCAATTAAAAAAGCCATGCAATCCTTTCTTGCAAAAAAAACTTGTGAACCTTATTATTGATAATGGAATGTACTTATAAAAATTTTTCTAACTTTAAATTATACACATCCTTTTTTTTGTTTTTGTTCGAAACATATAAATAGTATAAATTTTTTCCGAACAATATATTCTTAAGAATAATTTAAGTCTTGTTAAGCCCTTATCATAAATAACGAAAACAAATCTCAATATTAGTTAAGTAGCCACCGTAACTTTGACATGTCAGTAGGTATATACATATAATTTAATTTTTAGTAACTATGGTATACTTATAACTTACGTATCTTAATGTTACCATATAGATGGCTTAGTGAACTTTTTTGTGTTAAAATTTTATTACGAAAAAATAGCACCGTTAACACCAAAGTGACGATCAAAATTTTGATAGAAATACTTCGATAACATTTTCAAACTTCAATAAATAACTTTATAAATCACTTAAATTTATATCTCATCTGCCTAATAATTTGAAAATCATAATAGCTCAAAACAAGGCAATCCAAAATAAAATTTATAAAAATCATTATATAAGTAAGCTCTTATTTATATACTAAATAAACTATTGAACTAAACAGCTTACACGTTCGACGTTTCTTATCTTCTTGTACATAAGAGTTCATCGTCTATGAAGTTGAGTAGAAACAGACGAGTACGATAAGACGAGCTATCTAAGCTATTTTGTCTCTGAGAAATGGTGTTAAAAAATTAAATTGGAAAAATAAAAAAAAGCTATTTAGCGTAACACTTTCTTACTGAATTATTATGTCATCCATAATAAATATTTTAACAAACAAGTTTTTTGTTAAATGTAAGCAGTTAATATATCTGGAAACAAATGTACACTCTGAAAATGGTTGCAATGGTGTGACAAGTCAACAATTTTTTCATTTAAGCTTTTGTAAAGCTATAACCATTGTACGGTTTTAATAAAAGCTAATAACTAAATAAGATAATGGTTATGATACAATCGTCACTATACACCAATACAATCCTTTTAATCGCATTTTCATTAAACAACCTATGAGTACAAACGCTCACTTATTTTCTGAAGGATTTAGGAATTTCCATGGATATTCATTTGACATGAAATACCTTTATTTTGAATAATTCACAATTTTTATGTAAATGTAACATCATCCACAAAAATTATAAATTTCGGTTTATTGGCACAAAATTTACTATAATTAGTAAGATAATGAATTTTTCTTTTAGTGAAAAAGTCACAAATTTCTCAATACACGTAATGGACTATATAGTGCCTTTTCATTAAATTTGCATTACAAGTTTTCGGAAATAGATTTTTATACTTCACATAAAAAATATTGTTATATGGTTTTGAATATGATATAATATTGGACTTATGGTGACAATACTGAAAACGCATGAGGGACATAACGACTCATCTCTGTCGAGTACAATCAACTGATCGTACCACGTTGAGTATACGTTGAATTTTTTTTTTTTGTGAGACCAATTTTACATCATTCAAACAGTATAACTGCAGTCAATTGTCTTTTTCATCCAAATTGCAGTCTTATTTGCTGAGCACTCGTTAGACTATAGTGTAATTGGGCTGAAACTTATTTTTGCGTCAGTACTATTACATGTGACCAGAGCGACTTCATGTTTAAAAAAAAAACAGATCTCCACTAAAACGTATCATGTAATAAATAATTAGGTCTACCTTTACGATTAAATTCTTGTACAAAAAAAACGCACATCAACATTTTGGACATAAAATGGGTTCAACAAACGATAGGAGAACGGTATTGCCAATCAAAAATAATTTATTTTACATTTTTCTATTTACATCAAACTCTAAGTACGTAAGAGCTTTGGCGGGTTATTGCAAAATAAAAAATCGTCATCTACGTCCGTACGCGGCGTACTTGGCGTACAATTGAACGGTGAAATAGATACCATGAAATCTTTGGCTCTCAAATTCCAAAGTGGCAAAATTACTTCCCGGACCGCCAGCAACGAGAACAGCATTGGCTCCGGTACCGTCGGTGGCCCGGTCCAGGGCACGTATTTGCGTGATCACGTAGTCGTTGGTGATGTTGAAAGTGCGGGTCTTCTCGACGATGCGGCCAATCAGACTTGCCCATTCGGACACGTTTTCTTGGTGGGCGAGAGTATCAAGTGACTCTCTGTGTCCAACGATCAGGTGGTTCGATGTGTCGGCCTCCTTGGAGTTTGTATTGAAAATGTTTGAACTGACAGTTGCGGCCAGTAAAAGGATGGTGTACGTCGCGAGAAAAACAAAAGTTTTCGAGGTTGCCATTTCTCAAAAAAATAAAAAAATAAAAAAATAATAATATCTCGCGAGTTTGCGGGAGGAATTTTGCTCGGCTGTTGCACACCGATTAAATACTTCGAGTAACGAGTAAACATTTTTATACCTTCTGTTAGCTTATCGAATAATATTTGAGCAAAAAATAAATTAATAAACTCTTGATAAAGTTGGGTGTTGACTTCACAACGTTACTTCCTGGAAATAAAATCTAACGCTTCGTATTGACGATGATGAATCATCGAGACTTTTCCCGTGTATTTCTGACTCAGGGATAAGCTCTTTATTTACTAGGATTGAAACGTCTGGAGCGCTCGATTGAGTGTGTTGTAATCAGTACCGAAAAAAAAGCGCGGTTTTCATACTAAGCTTGACTCGTCAAAAACAAGTGAGAAAAGAGATAGGGCTGCTTTGATGGATGATTTATTTGGTTTCTTTTTTTTTTCTTTTTTTTTTTTTATTTTACTTGATTGTGTAACAGAACAACGTAAAAGTAAAAGTAATCTATTTTTTTTTTTAGTTTTCTAACTTATAGAGTCCGTAAAAAATAATTTTTTTTTAAACGTGTTTTAAATAGCGTAAATAGTAATAAATAAAAAATATCGTTTGTTAATTCCTACATAACCAGAATTTTCTTTGATTTTAATTATTATTTAAGTTGAAAATGGATTATAAATCTGAAACAATCTAGGTCATTACTCTATTTACATTTGAAAATTTTTAATCGTCACCAAAATAACTTGAATAAGTAAAATAGTTTTAATGACAACGTTAAAACATATCAAACCTTCCATCAAAAAAAGGGCTAACTCAATATTCCTTTCAAAAAAGAGCTAATTTAAAGGCTTTTTTTTCTCAAGTTGTGTAGTGTCATTACTGTCTGTTTTGTTTTATGAGAAAAAAATAAAAATTTTAAACATCACGACAATCATAGGAGTAAACAAAGGACTTGGTCATCTGATCGAGTAGTTATTTCTGGCAAAAATAATCAAAACGTTAAATTTATTGTAATACGCTGTGCGAATAATTCCTCGTTTAGATTATTAAGTTCTTCGTTTATACTCTTACGATTTATGTGATGTATGTGCTTTTTCTATTTTTCTCCCCACAAAATAAAACAGACAGTACTGACACTAAAAAAAAGAAAAAAGGGCCCCCAAGTTACTGCTTTCTGTTATCTGAATTTGAGTTAGTACTTTCCTGAAGACAATTTTAAGTTAACGCTTTATTTTATCGAGGCGTCAAATGTTTGCTTTGTTTTGCAAATATCCTAATTAGGCCAAAAATGAGTTTAATAAGATGTTATTAATTATGTTTAGTTACATCCATATTGTAAGTCTCACTAGGATTTTCGAAGTACATGTTAATTTTAAACTTCAATTTTATTTTTCTCTTTGCCCTTTTTCCTCGTAAATGATAAAAAAAAAATTTTTTAGATTTTCAACTAAATTTTTCTTCTTTTTTCTTTCGTAGAAATTGCATCGTGATGAAGGATTAATTAAGTGTCGAGATAACATGATCTGCATACGTTCTCTCGCATGACGATAAAACTCTATTCTTCTTCGAATAATATTCATACGTACATGCATGTGTATGCTCAGTTTGATATCGCGATTCCCACGATCAATTCCGACGTAACAAGGCTTTTTTTATGTTTATTGAATGTACAATAAGAAGTTGAAAAATTATACTGTTTGCTACTCAGTTTTTTTTCACTTATAGGTTTTAAAAAACATCTTTTTCATTTTTAAAAGAGGATTTTGATTATTTTATTATGGCATACTATGTGAAATCATTAAATAGAAAAAAATTTTTTTTGTGGAAAATGAAAACTGATTTTAGAATTTTTAATCAAAAACAATATTGAGGATAAAAGATATTCTTAAGAATAATTTAAGTCTTGTTAAGCCTTTATATTTTATCACGAGAACTCAAGCTATATCGAAGCTTTAAAACCTTTCCTAGAAATCTAATAAAGTAGTTATATTTTTATTTATGCTCACTTCGATAAAAATTGAACGGTGAAGTCAGTGCATGTTGTAATAAAATAAAAAAAACACCTAACGCATGTAACACGTATAAAACAATTACATATAAAATTTACTCCATGGAAAGATGTTGATTAATTTTTTTTGAATGTTTAAAATTTTTTGGATCAATTAAAATAAAAACTTTTATGGGAAGAGTATGGGAAGCAGCCTACCTTGAAACCGAAAAGGTTATTTTGTTTCCAAAACAACTAATCTAATCTAAATAAAAAATAAAAATAAAAATAAAAAACCAAGTCAACGTTAAAAATCACTGCATCTTTTATGTTTTTCAATTTTTTCACAAGCTTCTCAATCTCAATAAAATCGAAAACCTGCATTATGCACGTAATTTTTATAATACCACATAAAATAATTGATAGTGAATCTATAACGTTACATGACAACACACATGGCTTACCTTTATACATACAGCTAATTTAGTAATAAATATAAGTATGAATCTTCATTCTTCATTACACCAACAAAGATAATTGAAGACTGATTTCTCAGTTCACTTCAATGAACCGATTACTGTTATAATGTTATTTTATGCTCTAAATTATAGAGGTGACACCAACTTCGAAAGTAATAAAACCACTATGAGGCCGTACACCATACTAAATTTGATACGTATTCATCGATGATGTCTTTAAATTATTTTTCGCATATGATTAAAAAAATTCTGAATTTACGATTTTAATGAACAAAAAAAAAAGTATACTTACAAACTAATTCTATAAGCCAACTGATGTAATGAAAAGCAAATCCTGAATTTATAACAAAGATACCACCATTTTATTTACTTCTGCATTATCCGCTTCAAATTTTCTAGTCACCTAATTCAGCTCATTTCACGCAAACTAAATAAACAATGTGTAAGGTTACTCTACTAACCAAAAAAAGAGAAATAAGTTTGATCATACGTGGGTCATATTACAAAAAGGAACTTTTCATGTCCCAGTTAATGTTAAAACATCATTTATGGATACTTAGTTTTAACTTTTTTAAATAATAATGAATACTTCTGTGCTGAAGTTACAACAAAAATTGGATGATCAAAAATAATTCTCTTTATTTTAAAGGTAAAAAGTAAATAAAATGGTTTTATACAATCTCAAACTCATTAAGCGTTACTTTCATACATTTCAGAGAACCAAAGTCTTATAGTGTGGGCGTCAGGGGGGTTCTCGTTACCTTTTCCATTAAAATGGTCTCACTCCAAGTTTTTTTTATTTATTTGGACCTGCTGAACACGATTTTCGATGGTGGCTTGCTGTAAAATTTTGCACATCAATATATTGTTGACAAATGTTATAAACAAATTTAAAAATCAAAGTTTCGGTGAAAAAAAAATTTATTCATATTCTTTGGCACATTTTAAGCAAAAAGTATATCTTGCAACTTTTCTCTAAACGCTATACTTTTTTGGTAAAAAATTCGCAAACTTTTGAAAAACTGGAATTTTGAGATTTTCAACCACTAATATCTCGATTGTTAAAAACTTTTTGCAACTCTGCGAGACGTAAAAGTTTAGTTAAACTTTGTACTTTAAGAATACGTAAACTTCAGACTGGTAAAAAAATTTGCCTCTCAATGGTAAGCTTTGAATCGTGAGCTTCTTGGTATATGCTATCTATGGTCTGCATACGCGTAAAAATAAGATGAACACCTTTGACTAGAATTATGATTCTCGAAATTTGCGAATTTATTTTTAAACCTGCCGTTATGTAGAGAAAAATTCTAAAAGATAGTTTTCTTTTTAAATTAGCCAAGGAATAAGAAAAAAAATTTTATTTTATCGAAAAAAATTTGTTTTTCTTATTTGTTGCAAAATTTATTTATAACTATTGATTTGATAGTCATGCAACAATCCACCATCAATAATTTCGTAAAATTATTGAACATACTTAAAAAAAAATTGGATGGACTAATTCTAGTCAAAGGTGTTCATCTTATTTTAACACGTATTCAGACCATAGATAGCATATACCTAGAAGCTCAAAACTTACCATTGAGAGACAAATTTTTTTACCAGTCTGAAATTTACGTATTCTTAAAGTACAAAGTTTAACTAAACTTTTACGTCTCGCAGAGTTGCAAAAAGTTTTTAACAATCGATATATTAGTGGTTGAAAATCTCAAAGTTCCAGTTTTTCAACCGTTTGCGAATTTTTTACCAAAAAAGTATAGCGTTTAGAGAAAAGTTGCAAAAGCTAGAAATTTTGAAGCCCTGATGGAACTGTCCTAAAAAAACATTCCAATGGTAATTATAAACGTGGAAAACTTGTGTTTGTGGAAAAACCCACTAACGCTACAAATATCAGTTACGATGGGTAGTGTAAACTAGGTTACTTATATCAGCCCAGGTAAAAAACAATGAATAGTTAATAGATCGATAGCAGTGCTGTTTTATCTGTAACTTTGGTATTTAACAGCTACTGTGTTAATTCTCAAACAACGTTTTGTGTTGGAAATCGTTTTTACAGGCAATTAAAAAAAAAAGAAAGTCAAACAAGCTTCTTCTAGGAAAAACGACAATGCACTATCTGCAGTATAAACTAGGGTATTCAAGAACTGCTCAGTACACGGGAAGCTCTACGAGCATTTAGACCACATGTATTCGAGGCTTCGCGTTGCACCCATATTTTATTATACGTAAAAAGGCTAGATATTTAATAATACTGTCAATAACTGTCGGGCATCAAGTGCAACGTAAGTGCGAAGCACAACTTCTTCCTGCTTTAGTAATCAAACCACTATTAGAACATTATTTTTATTGTTTTAACGTGTATGAAACGAATTCAAATTTTGGATTACAAACACTTTTTACATTGTCTTATGAATTAGAACCACCAAACGTCTATGCAGTCCATCAAACAAAAGTAATTAAAATTGTAAGCTTGATTGGTCCTATTGTACAACTTCTTGTGTAGCTCAAACAGAACAATAAATGCCTTTTTCCAAGTTGACGAGATAGCGCACACATTTTTTTACTGCTACTTCTTCAACTCATCTCTCTTAAACTTCTG